AAAAAAAAAAAGAAATCACAATTCTATGGATTAGAAACTACCTAAGATAATTCCTTCTTTAACTGACCCACATCTCCTTATTTACTGCTGTATCCACGCAAAAACCTTTATGCTTGTTGCCTTGTACAATGCAGGGGACAGAATGCTGAGGTTATTATTGGTGTCTGCCACTTTCAAGCTTGAAATCTGTATGATATTTCCTGTGGCCTTTGGTTTGCTTCTTCAACCTGATCCTATCTACTTTTTCAATTTTTCAGAAACTCTACTTAAGTTCCAGTCTACCAAGGGCACCTATATTTGTACTCCAGTGTTAAGTTTTACACTCACACAGTTTTCTTTTTTTTGGGGGGCGGGGGGGAATGCATGGGTGGCTTAATCTATAGAGCATCCAACTCTTGATCTCAGGGTTGTGAGTTTAAGTCCAACAATGGGCATGGAGCCTGCTTTAAAAGGGGGGGGGGGAGTAAATTTATAGTTTTGCAACACAACCATAAACCAGTTTAGAATATTTCTGACACCCCAAAAAGTTCCCCTGCACCATCCTACAATCAATCTCTTATTCTCAGCCCCAGGAAACCACTGATGTACATTGTCTTCATGGTTTCCCACTTTTCAGATATTTCATATAAATGGAATTCAACATCACATAGCCTTTTCACATCTACTTTCCCCTGGCCTAATGTTTCTGAGATTCATCCATGCTGCTGCATGCATCAATACTCCAATCTTCTTTACTACCAGTAGTATTATTCCATTATAGAGCTATACATTTTGTTTATCCATTTGCCAGCCAATAACATTTCAATGGTTTCCAGTTTAGGTCAATTATGACCAATACTGCTATGACCATCTGTACACACGTTTCTTTTCTATTATTTATTTTTAATGTAAGCTTTACGCCCAAGATGGGGCTTGAACTCACGACCTCAAGTCACATGCTCTACAGACTGAACCAGCCAGGCACACCTCCTGTGAACATAAGTTTTTGTGAACATAAGTTTTCATTTCTCTGGAGTAAATACTCAGAAGTGACACTGCTAAGTCACGTGCACTTATGCTTATTGAACCTAGAAGAAACTGCCAATCTATCATTTGGCATGTAACA